CATCTACACAAACTTTCAGACCACACAAGTGCCTCTTGAATTTATTTAAGTTAAAAGAATGCTAGAAGGATCTAGCTAAGGATGCTGGACTTTGGTCACGTCTGTGCAAAGCTGAGTACAAATCGAAATTGCCTTTTCATTTTCCCAGCAAAACTGGGCACATTGTTGAACAATTAGAAATCTGCTATCCAGACAACTGAGCATGACCGGTTAGTTGGCCTCTGGATTGCACAGTATTTATTGTCAGATTGTCTTTGGACTTCTTTTTTTTTTTAAAATATTTTTATAGTGAGAAATATTATAGGAGTGTTTTAGTATTAAGAGCTGGCAGAAGACTGGATGTTGTGACACAAGACTTTAATCCCAGAACCCTAGGAGGGAGAGGTGGATCTCTAAGAGTTTGAGACTGATGGTCTACATAGTGGGTTCCAGGCCAGCCAGAGCTACATGGCAAGACCCTGTCTCCAAAAATAAGAAACTGGGCATTGGTGGCACAGGCCTTTAGTCCTAGCACTCGGGAGGCAGAGCCAGGCGGGTTTCTGTGAGTTCCAGGTCAGCCTGATCTAAAGAGTTCCAGGATGACCTCCAAAGCAATACAGAGAAACCCTGTCTCGAAAAACCAAGAATAAATAAATAAGAGCCAGCGAGCAAAACACACACACACACACACAGACAGAGAGAGAGAGAGAGACAGACAGACAGACAGACAAAGACAGACACAAAGCACCTCTTCAGAGCGACAGCACAAACATAATACTTAGTTTCAAAAATTTATGTCTATCCTTCATACAATTGCATGAACCAAACAAGAGCTTCTTACTGAAAAAGTGAAAAATCTAGGAGCCCACGACACCCTGATATTTAAAGGAGAGATTGATAACATCAAAATCTGAATATGCATAAAACTCTTAAGTTTCTTGACAATTTTGAAATGCATTGGGCACTTTTTTCCTTTTTTTTTTTTTTTTTTTTTTTTTTTTTTTTTTTGAAATAGGGTTTCTCTGTGGCTTTGGAGCCTGTCCTGGAACTAACTCTGCCTCCCAAGTGCTGGGACTAAAGGCAGTGCCATCACAGCCCAGCTGCATTTTGTACTCTTCGAGGAGTCAGTCTTAACACTATTTTACCATTTGTCAGCATCTGCCCAGACAATTCTGTGTGCATTATTTTCATGAACCACAGACAGTGTATATTTTGTTTGTTTGTTTCTCCAGACAGGGTTTCTCTGTATTGCTTTGGAGCCTGTCCTGGAACTAGCTCTGTAGACCAAGCTGGCCTCGAACTCACAGAGATCCACCCTGCCTCTGCCTCCTGAGTGCTGGGACTAAAGGCATGCACCACCAACGCCTGGCTAGATTTGTTCTTTTTAAAAAGATTTCTTGCTGGGTGTGGTGGTGCACACCTTTAGGACCAGCACTCAGGAGGAAGAAGCAGGAGGATTTCCATGAGTTGTAGACCAGCCTGGTTTACAAAGCCAGTTCCAGGACAGTTGGGGTGGTTACACAGAAAACCCCCGAAAGATTTGTTTATCTATTTTATGTGTGTGAGTGCTTTGCTTGCTTGCGTGCATGCACACACTCTGTGCATGCACCCGGTGTCTGGGGAGGCCAGAAGTGGAGGGAAAGTCAGAAGAGGATTGTCTCTGCGAGGTCAACAAGTGCTGAACCATCTCTCCAGCCCTTTAGGTGTGGCTTTGTCAAAAGAAGGCCTGTACATACTCAGGGAATCATAACAACAGGGTAAAATGTGGGAGTCAGACACCCCAATACTGCCAATAAGCAATGAAAGACTTCCATTATTTCGCTAGCGCCAAGTGTTAGACCCAGCTTGATGTCATCATTATTAGAGCTACACAAGGCCCATAAGGTTTCCCTTTAAAAAATTGCATTTAACTGTATTATGATTATGTTCTGCCAATATTTTGTCTTTAAGTCAGCCAGAACTCTCAGGCTAGGCAAAAGAAAAAAAAAAAAGCCACTTGCACAACTTACCCAAAGAGATGTATTTCTACTGATATCCAAATAAGCCTTCCTTTGTGTTCTATTGCATTAATTTAGTGGCTTGTCTTTCCTTGCAGGCAGCCCCTGTGGAGAGGTGGGGCTATCCCCAGGCCAGCACAGCAGGCTGCTCTCATCATTCTGGTATTTGTTTTTAATGGTCTTTGATCATTTCATCAGATCCCACTGTTCTCATCCTTTATTCCATTCAAGTTTAGGAACAAACACAAACTCTGCATCCACCCCTGCTTGTTCCTTCAGTTCCCACCCTTCCAGCCAAGGCCAAACAGACCCTTAGTGGTTTCCTTTTAGCGGGGATTTGAACATGGTTAAGTATTTGGTGTCAACGACCAGTACTTATAAAATAATGGTCACTGCACCTGTACCATGTGGACCATCCTACACCCTTCACTCCGAATCTACATTTTGCTTAGATCACATTGCCTTCTGGAATGTTCTGCTCCCGAGGGGTCCTAGACAGAGCAAAAGACCCCAAAGAAGACACTCTGAGGGGGGCAGATGCTGTATACTGAGGACACAATGTGGCTTTTATGTCTTTTTGTCATTTCAGTCCTGTCTACAAGGGAAATCACACTGTTCTGATAGGATCTAGTGGGAACTAGATGAAATAATGCTTTTAAATTTAGGAAATTTGCTTTTAAAGGGAGAAATGAAAAACATGTCTCAAAAAGCAAATTTTAAAAATCATTTCCAATTTGACAGAAAAATGTGAAGGTTGGGGAACTGCAAAGACCAAATGTCTTCCCTGGGACCTTAATTTTCCTTTTCTTCACCCTATGCCCGCCAGCCCTGCTCCTTAGCACTCTGGGGAAACCTTGCCAACCGGAACTCTCCTTGGCACCACTTTTCTTGGAAATTAAACTTATTTTCGAAGTCGAAGACCTGTGGATAATCTGTTTTTCTGGTTGGGGTGGACTGCTAACGCCCCTCTCTAGACACTCCCAGTTTAAAAGTCTTTGCAAAAAAGCAAGTCAAAGGATGGAGACTAGTGATACCCGCCACCCTATCCAGGACTCACTTCAGGAGAGTGACAGGCGAGGGCGCGCGGGGGAGGCGAGCTGAGGGGGAAGGGCTGGCGAGCCATTCAGAACAAGTTTCCTTCCAAATCCAGTAGTGCTCCTTTGTCTCTCTCTGTGTCTCTGTCTCTCTCCTCATTGAAAAAGCAGGAGAGCCTCGGGAGGACGGCCCGGTGACCCAATAACGCCCATCCGAAGTGGAACAGAGGTCACACAAGAGTCAGCGTGACCCATTCGCTCCTAGAAGCGGCAGCCCTCCTGCCTCTGGCACACACACAGGAAGTCACACTAAAGTGTACTCTGGTCTAACCTGTGGTCGACACCCAGCCCCCCCCCAGCACCAGAAGTCCCCCAAATTATGTCAGTGCGTGAAGCTTCGCTGTGTAGCGGGTAAAATGAGTGGGTCAAGTGAGTGCGTTTATTTCTTTAAATGCCTATCAATTGCCCTCCTATCTCCCCTTCCAGGGGTCGTCTCTGTGAGACCTCCCCCGCCTCATCCTACATGAGTTTGTCTACAACTCATTCACTCAAAAAGTGCCTACTGCCTGCCACCCGTATGTACCCCTTCCCTTTCCTAACCAAACGAAGGCGTTAAAAAAATAAAGTCTACTATTTGACACAGCCTCAAAGAGGCTTTGCAGAGAGATGGCCGGGATTCTAACCCCCCCCCCCCATTAAGTAATTCCACGGCTCCCATCCTCACTTGAGGCCAGGCTGCAATGGGTGGGACGCGTGTGCGCGCATCCGGGCAGGGGCAGCCCTTGCTGTCTTGAGGACCCGGGCGTGAGCAGCAGTCCGGGTGCACACCCCCACCCCCCACCCCGCACCACGGGCCCCCAGCGCTCGGGCCCCTAATGAGCTGCTGAAAGAGAGCGGGCTCCGGTGCGCGTGGCTCGCAGGCCTCCCGGAGTCCCGGGAACACTGATTGGCCAGCTGCGCCTCGCGACCTCCTTTCATTAATAAATTAGTGGCACGCTCCAGCCGAGCGCGAGCCACCAATCACAATAGACAGCGGCGGCGACAACAGCCGCAGCTTGAGCTGCTGCTGCCGCCGCCGCGGCTTCGGTAGCTTGGGCTGAAGCCTGGAGCGCCAACAGGAGCTTTAGAACCATTTTATGCTGATTAGATAAAGGGGGGATGGAGGGGAGGGGGTGATGGAGGAGGAGGATGGATGGCCGGGCCAGGGGAGGGGGAGAGGGACCAAAGAAAGGGAAAGAAATGAATGATGATAATACGATGAAAAGAATAAGCCGGGGAGGGAGAGCGGGAGGGGGGACCAGGGGGAGGAGGAGAGGGCGGGGGAAGGGTAGGTGAGGAGGGGGCCCCGGGGCAGATCTGATTGTTTTCTTGGTGGTATATAAGGGGTTTTAAGGAGAGTCGTGTGCCAGACACACAGCCACTGAACCACAAGCAGCTCGGCTTTAACTGGAGTGCCTGGGAGTCGCGTGCCAGCAGCCTCACGGCCAGGGACTGACTGACAGACAGACACGCACGAGCACGACAACACACGGGACCCGGGCGGGCTGCCGCGGTCGCCGGGGCTCTTGGCAAAGTCACCCAGTAGAGAGGCCCCCCGCAGAGGTGTGCCTAGGAAGCGCCAAGTCCTCTGCGCTCTAGAGGAGCGAAGGACAGCGCTCTTGGTACCCGGCTGCGGGGACATTCCCGGACACACACCAGAGCAGCAGCTGTGCCGCAACACATCTGGAGCCGAGTAGGTAAGCGTGCCTTCCTCGCCTCTCAACTTCGCAGGCAGTTTGCCCGCACAGGCTGACTTTCTATCACTCTAGACGCTCTAGAGGCTTGGCTTCTGGGACCCGCAAAGTGCACGGTCAGGTGCTGGCCCAGCCTGGGGCGCTCCTCCCCAGCCCCATCCTCGCCTTCTTCACGGCTGCACCTTGCGGGGACACGAAAGAGACACTTCTACCGGTCTGTTCCTGTAGTAAATTTCATCTGCATCTTCTTTCGCAGGATGTTCGTCAAATCCGAGACTCTAGAGTTGAAGGAGGAAGAGGAGGTGCTGATGCTGCTGGGCTCCGCTTCCCCGGCCTCAGCCACTCTGACTCCGATGTCCTCCAGCGCGGACGAAGAGGAGGACGAGGAGCTGCGGCCGCCTGGCGCCGTGCTTGGGCAGCGTGGGGCGGAAGCCGGGCAGGGGGCGCAGGGCAGTTCGGCGTCGGGTGCTGGGGGTTGCCGGCCAGCGCGGCTGCTTGGCCTGGTGCACGAGTGCAAGCGTCGCCCGTCCCGCGCACGGGCCGTCTCCCGGGGAGCCAAGACGGCGGAGACAGTTCAGCGCATCAAGAAGACCCGCAGGCTGAAGGCCAACAACCGCGAGCGCAACCGCATGCACAACCTGAACGCGGCGCTGGACGCGCTGCGAGAGGTGCTGCCCACTTTCCCCGAGGACGCCAAGCTCACCAAGATCGAGACGCTCCGCTTCGCCCACAACTACATCTGGGCGCTCACCGAGACCCTGCGCCTGGCGGACCACTGCGCGGGCGGCGGCGGCCTCCAGGGGGCGCTCTTCTCCGAGGCGGTGCTGTTGAGCCCCGGAGCCGCGCTCAGCGCCAGCGGAGACAGCCCTTCGCCCCCCTCCTCCTCCTGGAGCTGCACCAACAGCCCTGCGTCGTCCTCCGCCTCCTCCAACTCCACGTCCCCGTACAGCTGCACTTTGTCGCCCGCTAGCCCCGGGTCAGACGTGGACTACTGGCAGCCACCACCTCCGGATAAGCACCGTTACGCACCTCACCTACCCGTCGCCAGGGACTGTATCTAGAGCTGCGCATCCCCCCCCCCATGCCTCTACCTGGTCCTCCCTCCGTCCTTCTCCCGCCCCCACCCTCCTCGCCCGGCACTCCACTCCACTTCACAGAGCAGAGGTAGCGGTGCCAAGCCCCCCGGCTGCTGGTGCATTCGCTGTGGGTTAACTTCACACACACTGTCTCTTATTGAAGATGTGAGGATTTGTGGTCAAAGGGGATTGTGGCGTGTGGAGTTGGGGTTGGGGGGCTGGGAGGGGAGACTTCGTGAGATTATAAAGACAGATACTGAGAAAAGATGCCATTGTCATAACTAAAGAGTTTGCGGAGCAGACTGGAGCTCCTCCCCTCTCTCTCAGATGCTGGAGAACTCTGTCAAGCAGTCCAGTCCGTGTGAATCTCACAGAGGGAATGCAACTGGTCCCTGTGATCTTTTCACCTTCGTTTCCACATAGAGATGTTAATGTCAGTCGGAAAGAAATGTGTCTTAGCATCTGAATGAATTTACCGGTAATAATATTATCCACACATTTGCAATGGCTGGCATCTGCTCTATTCCCATTGCTGTCTGCAGGCTGTGGGAATTTCACCTGTCAAACCAAACTTTCCCTCTCTGATGTGCACTTTGTTCTTTTCCCCAGATTCGTCACAATGCCTATTGTCCCGCCCTTCTCTTTCCTTTTTTTCTCCATTTTGCCATCTGTCTCTTATGATTTATAAGGGGAAAAACTTGTTTTGTTTGAGGGCCAGGTTAGAAGTCATTGTATAATTTGTAGGCTTTTGTAAGGATTGAATGCAAGCGTGGAAATTTAGGCTGAACTCTCTATCAAAAGGAAAAATGTGGAGGAAAAGGGAAAAATCAGGAGGGAGGATTGCTTCATGCATTATTTATCTCGACCTTTTAGGGGAGAAGGAACTCCCCCATCCTTTCAAGAGATTAAAAATAAATCAACAGTCTGAAAACCTAAGCAGACACGGGGCATTACCAGGATCAGCCACACACGTGTTCCCTTCTATTTATTTTGAAGAAAACTTTCATGGGAAAAGTATGTATTTTTTTGTATATTCTACAGAGTTTATTCTAGTATGTATTTACATCTTGAAGAACAAGAAAATTGTTTTGTGATTATGCTATAAATAAAGTATCTAATTTTCATAAGTCTGTATTTTTTCCCCCATGTGGTCTTCAATATAGAATGAGTTTTATTTTACTAAAGTTCTTGGCATGTTGAATTGACTATATTTTACTTCTTGGGTAATGTTTGGTGTGGAATTTCGCTAAGAAATTGCAAAATATGGAATCATATTTGAAATATCAATAGTGAGATAAGAATGTAATTCATCACAAACTCAAATTTTGCTTTTAAGAAATTACTTCTTAGAGGTACAGAGATCTCCATGAGTTCAGAGCCATCCTGGTCTACATAGTGAGTTCCAAAACAGCCAGGGCTACACAGTGAGACCCTGTCTCTAAATAAATGAATAATTCTCTTCTTATGCTAAGAGGTATAGTTTAGTGGTAGAGCACTTGCCCAGCATGTCAAAGACCCTGGATGTCTAAATAAATAAATAAATTTTTAGCCAAAGAAAAAGAGCATGAGGAGGGGGTCTTAAATAATAATTATGTTGCAACAGGCTTTAGAGTTCAGAAAAAAATCGATTTTTAATAATGTTTGTGTTGGGCATGGTGGTGCTCACCTTTAATCCCAGCACTTGGGAGGGGGAGGCAGTGAATCACTGAATTGTAGGCCAGTCCGGTCCACATGGTGAGTTCCAGGACACAGCCAGGGCTATGTAGAGAGACAGATGCTGTGTGTCTGTTTAAAAGAAAAAGGAAGAGAAAAAAGAATTTTTTTGGTAGTGTTCACAAATCTCTTTCTTTCAGTTAACTTCTTTGAGATTCCCCTTTCATCTTTAAACTGTAGGAGTTGTATATTGTGCCCAAGGACCCGCCCCCTCCAGCTCTAGCTTGTGTAATGTGAAATATACTTTTAGTTTGTTATGAGTGGCTGGTTTTGTACTAACCACTTCAACAAGCTAGCTTGCTTCAAAAGGCAAAGTTCTAGAGAAAAGGAGACATTCAGGGTTAGTTCCAATGCAAAGACTATATTGAGGGAAATAGCTTTGCTTTCTCATCTTTATCGGAGTCATTTGAAGGGGAAGCAAAAGTAATGGGTTTATATCTCACTCTCCAAACACTCCGATGGCTGAAAAATGACCAAGTCAAAGCTGACCACAACTGAGAATAAAGCCCCAGGGGAACAGATGAACACAGCAAAAATAAAATCATGCAATTTAAAAAAAAGTTAGTTGTTCATTGTACTTTCTTCCTATAAATGTCATATCTGGTTTTGTCTTGACTAAATCCTCAGTTCCTTTGTGTAGAGAAATGGTTGCTTCTTCTGGGATTTCTGTCTGAAATTCTCCACGAATTGGGAATTTTTGGTGTTTAATACCTTGGACTTTTTAATTTTTTATATTTATTTTATATGCATGGCGTTTTTTTTTTTTTTTTTGCCTGTATGTATGTCTGGGTACTATGTGTGTGCAGTGCCAGAAGAAGTCAGAAGAGAGAGATACCATCATGCCATTGCTGGGAACTGAATACAGATCATCCGGGAGAGCAGCCAGTGCTCCTAGAAGCCACCTTTCCAACTCCAGTGCTTAATATCATCAAAAGAAAATCAACCCAGAGATTTTGTTCTGGTTTCATACTGATCAAAAGAGGGTCTGTTGGACCCACCCCCTTCTTGTGATAGGCTAGGAATGAACCCAGTGTGTCATGGACCCTAGGCAAGCACTTATCAATGAGGTACCCTTCTGCCTCAAAAACAATTCTTTGTAGTTTAGATGCCATCATTCATCGTGTGATGGTATGTTATGGAGATAACGTGGTACTTTTCTTATTTATGTTTGTTCTCTTAGTACTAAAAAAGCTAACCAGCAAGCTGAGGATGGATAGTGTGAATGGTTGCAAACATCAGTGGTTTGATGCCCAAGTGTGTCATTCTGTTGGCAATGATTATAGCCCTAGATGGCATCTCCTTTGGAAAATCCCTGAAGAAACAGCAGTTGAGAGCCAGGTAGATGTTCTAAGGGCTTAAGCAGTAGATGGCACAGCCACTATAGCTTTGAGTGATGGTAACATGGTGGATGACACACTGCCAGGCATCTGCTAGTCCAGCCTCTACAGATTCTCCAGGCCCAGGGGTTTTCCTACTTCCTGAAGGCAGGGGCTTGCAGGTAAACCACACCTAAGCATCACATGCTACATGCCAGGGGTTCTTGCTTAGCGCTCCAGAGTCCTGCTCTAGCTCTCCCTTCCTCGTGGAATCACAGGCTAATATACAGCAAATTTGGTGCAACTGTTTTTATGGTGCCTAATTATCTCCAACAGTTAAGAATGCTGTTCTCAGGGTAGTGATGATGGCTCAGTACAGAATATGCTTGCTGTGTAGTAGGAACTGCATTTGATCTCTAGCACCCATGGAGTGGGGAGGGATGGGGGGGCAGGTGTGGCAGCCAATTTGTGAGCTCAGGTTCAGTGATAGACCCATTTTTTCCTTTCCAGAATAAATGTTTTTCGAAGCAGGGTTTCTCTGTATAGCTTGGGAGCCTGTTCTGGAACTCAATCTGGAGAGCAGGCTGGCCTCCAACTCACAGAGATCCTCCCTCCTGTCTCTGCCTCCTGAGTGCTGGGATTAAAGGCATGTGCTACCACCACTCAAGGAAATCAAGCCAGCAGTTTTTGTTGTTGTTGTTTCCCTGTGAAAACAGTTCTGGCTGTCCTGGAACTCGAGATTAATTGCAGTATTTCTCCCTTCCCTTTCCTCCCTCCAAACCCTCCCATATACCTACCACCCTTCTCCTCCAAATTCTCCTTTAAAAAAGTTGCAATTGCATGCATCTATGTAATGCAATTCACATACATTCCTAAACATAACCCGCTCACTCCTGTATGATATTATCTGTATGTCTGTTTTCAACGCTGACAGTTTGGCACCGAACAGCCAATTGGTGTGCTCTCCATACCTACTTCCTGTGTGTCAGTCCACACAACATGTCAGTCCACATGTGAGCTGAACAAATATGACACCAGTGAACGCACAAACTGGATGGAGAACAGCAAACGAGGCCTCAACCCTACCACAGACTCACAGATTCCATTTGATACAAAAGGAGAGAGGTGAGGAGGCTGTCTTGATTTTGATTTCTCTCTCTCTCTCTCTCTCTCTCTGTCTCTGTCTCCCTCTCTCCCTCCCCCCCCCCTCGTGTTCACTTAGCCCTAGGAATTCTCCATTTCTCACTGTTACTTCCAAAGCGAGTGGGCTGAGGCCCAGTTCTCCCTTGTAAGGATGAACACAGGCACAGGATAGAAGCTGTTGCTGCATCTGCAGTTGACACCAAAGACCTTTCCCCTTCTCCCTGCTCCGCCTTGGTGAGCTGGTTCTGCCTGCACTACGGTCTCGCTGATCTGGGACTGTCATACCATTTTTGGCAGGCTCTAATGAAGGCCGCGATGCTCTTCTGGGGACAGTTCACTGAGTCGCTGTTTCTAGGTCTTTCTAACACAAGGGCTTACTTTCGGTTGGTTCAGTCCTCAACATTGGATGAGTTATTTATTGTGAAGTACAAAACTATCTGAGGCTGAGAAGGGGGAGAAAGAGCAGGGCATGGCCCAGAGAAAGGCCCGGGTTCAGAGGAATGGCTGGGGCTTATGGGATGTTCCAGGCTCTGTAGGAGGGTCGTCGGCCTTGGCCGCTAGGGCTGGATGGTCAGAATAGCTCCGAAGGTCTTTACGCCCACGCTGGCCTCCGCAGCGCCACCGGTTGGTCGCGGTCGCAGGTGCTGAGGCTGCGCAAGGGCCTGGCCGGCAGACCAGGATGGGAGCTGTGGCACCCCTCAGCCCTGAACATCTCCTGCACCCCACAGCCGTGGGCGGGTGATGGCCTCTGGGCACTGACACCTGGAACCCGTTAAAAGCTCCTTCTCACGCCGGTCCAGGACCCCCCCCCCC